TTTTTCTAAAACATTATTATGTATTATTATTATTATAACCCAGACGCGTTCTTTTCTTTTAAATAGTTTTAGATAGTAAAGTAGTCTTCTATGTTCTATCACGCCGGTAACAGTTAGTCATTACGTAGTATAAAACAAAGTCGCTGTTGCGGTCTGTCCGTCCTTATGTATGTTTAAATCTTTAAAATTACGCAATGGATTTTGAAGCGGTTTTTTTTTAATAGATGGAGTTATTCAAGAGGAAGGTTTATATATATAATACATGTACACCTGTGCAAAGCCGGGCGAGTAGCTAGTTAACCTATATATTAAAATGATAACACGGTGTTTAAATTATATATATTCAATGTAACATTACGAGATAACAATAGAAATTGTTACACACATTCCATACACAAGTCTTTTACACCCATTTCCTTCTAATCATATAAAATTCAATGTACTCATTCATATTTTATGTGTTAGTTCACTTTCATGTCAACGTATCAATCCTGTTCAAACATGATCTTCGCATCAGGAGAGCGGTAGAGCAGGGGTCATACTCTGTAACGCTGTTGACACGAATGTAAACCCTAGTACATGAGTGATGCCACTCAAATTGTAATTTATTTATTAATGTTAATACTTACTAACGCTATAAATATGAAAGTAGGGATGTTTGTCACCTTTCTAGCATAAACTACTGAACCGATCACCATTAATTTTGTACACATGTTCTTGGAGGTATTAGAATGAACATAGGATACTGTTTATTTATAAAAAATATGCGAGCGAAGCCGCGGGTAAAAGTAATATTAATTAAAGTAACAAACATCCACCCATACTCACAAACTTTCGAGTTTATAATATTAATAAGACTAGCTATCCGCTACGGCTTCTGGGTGTGGGTGTACTTGTATACATATAAACCTTTCTCTTGAGTCACTCTTTCTACAGCTAAAAATTGCATTAAAATCTGTTGCGTAGTCTAAAAGATCTAAGCGAATAGATAGCGGAAACGCCTTCATTTCATACTATGTAAAGATATATAATTCCACTATACTACAACACTATTACTGTACACTACACAAGCGATGTTTTATTTTAGATTACTATAATGTATATCCGCCCTTCGAGATCACAAAGCGGAAAATACCAAATTGAATCCCTTACGGGGTAGAGCCCGAGATTTGTTTGGCATGAAATGACAATCTTACTTTTCTGCGTTTATTCGATAAATCTCGAGTATCTGGGATGATAGAATCGATTTACGATTAAATATTAATTCCACTTTTAGTAGTAGTAAGATAAGGAATTTTCTTACTTTTACTTAGACAAGAACCACTTTGATAAACTTACCTTTGTTTAGGTAACTAGAATGGTAAACAAAATTGATGGTACCGGGTGGTAAGTGGCAAAATTCGCCTATATAAATACATGAAGTACGCCAGTGATATCACAACATCACGCAGAACAGACTTGCCGAACTTGCAGAACAGAATTTCATTCGTAATTAAAACTAATGACATTAAGACTTCCAAATGTTTAAATAGTAATTAATTAACAATTTACGATAGATCATGATTAGTAAATAAAATCAAACTACTTCTTATATATAAAATTCTCGTGTCACATTTTCGTTCCCATACTCTTCCGAAACGGCTTGACCGATTCTCATGAAATTTTGTGAGCGTATTGAGTAGGTCTGAGAATCGGCCAACATCTATTTTTCATCCCCCTAAATGTTAGGGGTAGTTTATTTTTATTTTAAGGCAAAACAACGTTTGCTGGGACAACTAGTTTATATATATATTTTTATAATGGAATGATGAATGGAATTAGTGGGGCATGATTATATAAGCATAAAGTCATGATAATACGTCCAATATGGAGAATTTATTGGGAATAAACAACAATAATTTCCAGAAGATAAGCGTGGAGGTCTATCTTACATGGTGTTAATGACAGTCTCTATTACCACAGATAAGATAATGTATTACTAACAATCCCGGGAAAAAATCCGATATTTTTGAAAATATTTCATTTTAACATTTAGTTTTTATCAATAATTAATGAGTAGATTATATCTATACACAATTCTTTTTCTCGAATTAACTTAAATTAACAAATTTAATAGGTTTCAGGAAAACTACCGTAACATTCCCACGAAGCGCACCGACCCATATAAGTGTTCTATGAAGACCTTTGTAAGCAGAACTGTGCAAAGTCAGCTTTGCACAATTCCGCGAACTTTTCTTGTTCTAAAGTAGCATTACGTCAAATTGGTCGGCGATCTTCTTCAACCCTCTTAAGGCAGTAGCTGTGATTTAAAAGGGTAACACGCAAACCTTTCTTAGATATAGATCTTGTTGCTAGCGAGAAGCGTAAAGTAATATAAATTGATAAGATGCACCTAAATTAGATTTAATCAACCGAATTTCAATCACTATTGTTATTTTAGTCTGATTTTAAACCGAATCAGTAAATTTTATTGGGATATTTCTGTTCTACAAATTTGTAAGATATCCTTAAACTTTCAATTTTACTTTATACAGTTTTCGTTTCATTTTTCATAAATCAATAACTTTTTGACACAATTATGTTTCTATCCTACCATAATATTATTAACGCGGATAGAACCTAGTAATTAGTAAATCTAAAAATTGGGTAATGAATATATGAATATAATAAATCACCCAAATTCAGTAACTGAACTGAACATATGCTTACACACGAGCCTAATTTTGTATTAGGCTAACTGTTGGAACTATGAACTTAGGCGATTCACCAATTTTACGTCAAAAATAGCCGACGACGAAATCAGACCTTCAATCGAATATTGTGAAGAATTGCAGCCAAATTGTTTACTAGAACAAGCTAGGACGCCAAGTACTCAATTATCCTTGGATTAATCTGCCGAAACCTTGTTTAGAAGCTAAACACAATATAGACGCTAGACTGACAATACGCGCGAAATTAGTCACTAAACTCCTAGCGTTCTATTAATAACACAGTGCAACTGACAGGCTTCCGATCGATTCCTTGTCCTATTCAAACGGAGATCCAAATTATTACGGCCTGAGCCTAAGTACGAGCCCCTAGGCCCCTTCAGACTAAAATCGTATCCGTCAGGACATGGAAATCAGCCACTTCATAATTCAATCCGCGTGTTTGGAATGCCCTTTGGTATCGCCCACATTTCGTCCGGTGAAACTGTAAATGCCAGCGGAGGCCTAGAATAGTTCGGAAGAAAAATGCGACAGACATATGTACAATTCACTAAAACGTTAGTCGATACATTAGTAATTTAATATTGAGAGAAGTCGATGAATTAAGCATATTAGCATAGATGAAAATATGGATTTTATACTTCGACTTAAAGCAACGAATTGTAATGAAATATAAACTTACGGATAATTGCTTGTCTAGTCTATTATATATTAGATATTTGTGTTTACTTTTCTTCGGTATTTTCTTATGCAGACAATGTAAACGTACCTTTCTATAATGGGTTTCACGTATGCATCTTAAACAAAACTCAAAAGTAATACCTAATGGTATTGGAATTTAAATTGTACTTGCAGTATTCGCAATATACGTTTTTCTTTTTCATCATATCATCTGCTTCTTCTTTATACCATAGTTTGCGCTCAGCGTAATATATTTTTCTTTTCCATTCATCCCTGTTCGCAGTCATCTCGTTATTTACTTCCTTCGTTACCATATCATCTATCAGTACATGCATATCTTTTTCGGCCTTCCTTCCTTCCTCATCCCTATTCGCAGTCATCTCATTTTTTACCATATCATCTTTCACACACAACTATCCATACATATGTAACACCTTCCATAAAATTTTCTTTTTACATTTTTCTTTTTCATCTTCAACAAATATTCGAAGCATCATTACCGGATATAGAATGAGCAAGATAAAAATGTCATAAAATTTAGAATTTCTTTTTAAACTTAGTTGCAAATAATAATGAGCACAGTCGGGTGTAACTTTCGCTTCCTCCTCGCTATCTTCGATATCAGCCTTACAACTCTCCCATCGTTCGTCACGTTCGAATATCGGCGGAGTGTACATAAAACCAATCCTTCTACCCGTCCGTCCATCAAGTTTATGGGTATACGGCGGCATGCATAAAACATGTATTGCCAGTATTCTAAAACTTAGAAGTTTTCATATATAACGGAATTTTATTGGTTAAACATCCATAACATTTAATATTAATACGAAATATTGTTCCGAACAATTTTGTTGGACCATTATCACGTAAATAGTTTTTGCCCGGACTTCGTCAATGTATGTGACTAGAATTAATTGATCGGAATAAAATATTGTCTTTATATGTAATAACAATAATAATCCTGCACTATTTGTACAGCGGTATCTTATCATAAGCATAGATTGTGTTATAGTGACCAGACAACAAATATATACTTAGGTTTTTTTTGTAAATATATACATAACAAACAATCATACTCGTGAAGACAAGTGCTTGCATCGAACTGCTGAACCACGTAAATATTTTGCGTTGCCTTGTTGCCCTGTGCCGCATTGCCATGTAAATATTTAGTAATAAAAAGTGCATAAATACCATCTATCCTATAATCCATACTTTGTGATGAAATGCATTTTATATTAATCTAATTTCTATACTAATATCACAAAGAGTGATTGTGTGTTCTATCTCCTAAGAATATCCTTCAATTCTTGTCCCTAAGGAGTCTAAGTAGTGAACTCTGGAAAAAGCGATTCAATTTCAATAGATCATTGTAGGTCACAGTGCTATGGGTCTAAGTCCAAAAAAAGAATACCTGTTCGAAATCGGGGTGAGAGTGTGAGTATTTCATTCAATTCTTCAATGACTATTGATACGCGAGCTATGAAACTAAAAAGGTTACGCAAAGCAAAGCTCATTATAATTCGTGTAATGCAGACTTTTTACAACCCTGATAGTCATACTCAATAGAATTAATCCCAAATACATTGATAGAATTAATAAAAATCAACTTACCTGGCGAAAATTGTACTGAAACCGTAGCGGATACATCAGGCAGGAATGTCTCAAAAACTTCTGCCAAAACAAAAATCATTTTCATGCAAACATAATAAAAACAAGCGACTAAATTTCTATTATTGTAGATATACAAAAATATTATAAAATTTACAACTACTCAAGAGTATTAATATAAATACTATTTGCAACCATAGTTAAAATTTGATATTTACATTAAAAAAATGTGCATAGACAATATACAGTCGCATACACTGATGCCTTAATATATATTTATTAAAATTTTACAATTTGCTAACATTGTCTATACCAGTGTTTCCCAACGTGGGGCCCACGCCCCACCTAGGTCCTTTTCATTGTTAAGAGGGGCAATTCGAAAATGGACTCTATTAAAATTATATGTAATGTGAATTTCAATTTGACATTAAATATGTTTTTGTGTGTCACAATGTTTATTAGATACTAAATCATTAGGTATGCAAATATATATAATATAATTCTTAGCAGAAAATACACTGTAAACATGAAATATAAAACTATATGACCAGTACGTCAGCAATAATTTAGGAGGAACTTGTTACTTGTAAATTGTTTATATTTAACAATTTCCTAGGGAGTTCCTCCTAAAACCTATTATTTACGTTTCTTTAGTTAACCAATTCAATTATATTATTATATATACATAGTGTGTGCATAAGAATTTTAGAAGGGCTAAGATGGGGCATGGCTCTAAAGAGGTTGGGAAACACTGGTTTATATAATCTAAGGTGGGGCTTGACACTAAAAAGATTCTATATAATAAGTGTCCACATGTCAATGTAAGCGACTGTCTTGTAATTAGTATGTAAGTATGTAGATACGAAACCACTTCTAATATCTAAAGTACTGCTCTACATTTGCCTCATTTTCTATAATTATTATATTAACTACTTGTATTAGTGCATATAAAATATGTTTGTAAAATGCATGAATTATTGAAAATGCACAGCTAAGTAAGTAGGTTTCCATAATGTGAATACTACATTTTTAGTAGAAAAAAAACCAACCGATAAATTACCAGGGTAGACTTCATACAAAATCTCTGGCATAGGTACCTCTGTCTCATATATTTCAACCGCCAAGCTTATTTGAAGCTGTGTTTTGATTGGAGGGTCAGCATAAAATTTTCCAGAATAGCTTGTCCTTCAGAATAGCTGGCATTACACGACAGGTTCTTTAACGGACGATCAGGACCGAGAGCGAGAGATTTAGCGCGGGAAAGCAAACGCGTGATAGCGCAACTGTTTTTAATAAGGAGTAACTTAGGCTACTTTTATTTTAGAAAATGAAAGTAGCGTGTACAACGTCGAAGGACAAGGGAACGATCGAGCTTCTGGCGCGTACGGTCTTTCTCGTTCTCTATATATACATATAAAACACCCAGACATACAAACAATCATAGTCATGAATACAAATATTTCGGAAGTAAGTAGCATATAGAGTACCGAACCTTTAAGAATTAGTCATTTTTAATATTAAACCTTTTAAAATAGGAACGCCTATTTATGAACGTTAGACAACCAATAGATAAATCAATAACCTAGTAAACACTATCTAACTCTCTCAGCCCTTGAAGTCCGCCGCTCTTTAATGAGCCGTAAAATCAAAGGAGTCTTTCTATACATATACTGGACAAACACTCATACAAGATACGTTTATATATTATGTATGAGATTATCAGTGACCTACTCATAACTAAATTAGCAACTCAGACTGACTTTGAACGGGTACAATTATTGCAAGAAACTCGAATTTATCTATACACTAACGATCTATCCATGTGTAAATACGTGTATTTTATCAATCCTGAATATAATAATATTGTCGACCTCGGTGGTCTAGTGGTTTAATACGCTGCCTTACTTCCGATGGTCGCGGGTTCGATTCCTCGCACGGCACAAACATTTGTATTTATGAGTATGATTGTTTGTGTCGGTCTGGGTGTTTTCTATGAATAATATGTATGTATTTAGAAAAAATAAATATCTATGTATTTGTATCAGTTATCTAGTATCCATAACACAAGCTTTAGCTAGCTTAACTTGGTTCTAGATGGCGCTGTGTGAATTGTCCTGACATTATTATTACAAACTTCCAGGCTTTCTACTATCTCCTTTTTTACGTTTTTATTTTACATTTTGCATAGTAAATCCTACCCATCATTTGTCTAACCTACAAACTACTAACTAGGGGCACAGATAAGATATTATTCTAAGGGGTGTTCATTTTATTTATTTTTGGAATTTCTTACTTTTTCTTTCTTATATTAGGACATTTCTACATATCTTACATCTAGTACCTTCATTGTGCTATTGGGGATGGTTTGTTTCTGTAGCACATCAGGGATGTTGACTGCTTTAACGAGTTATTATTTTGACCCATCGCTGCATCATATCTGATGGAGTTGTGCAACGATAGTGTAAATATTTCAGACTGATTTTGTTATCTTGTTATTACTTTATTTCTATTTGTTTAGTCTAGGTATATACGTAACATGACTCAGAATTTTTCTTAAACTGTATTATAAAGTTGATTTAAAAATATAATAGTTTTGAATCAAGCATTCTCATGAAATTGCATGAGCTGTCTAACGAACAACCTAATTGTATTACGTTGCAATGGCTACAAGAAATCAGAGACAGAATGAATTCTTTCTTGATGGAAACAATTTTTTACATTTTACTTTTTATATCTTACATTTAACGTAACAAGTTTGTGTCGGAAACATGTAAAAAATAATTGAAACAGACAAAAGCAAATAGGTGAAATAGGTGAATAGATTGCAAACCTATTTTTTTGTTTAGAGACTGATATATTCATAAACAATTAAGCCACTGTAATAATTAAAACGCAGGCAGCGCTGTTATATGCCTTTTCTGTGTAGACATAAAATTTTTCATCATACTTATTTGTTAGTTATAATTAAAGATTTTTATTATAATGTTTTTTTATAATAATATTTATTAATTTTATTTTCTTTTATCTGGTTTAAAAGAAGGTAATACTCATCCACACGGGTCTCAGCTAAGTGTGGGAGAGGTCGCGGTATGTCAAGATGTTTATGCATAACGCACCATTTATGATAATTATATTTTTTTGTACAAACATTTTAAATATTTTATGTTTTGTTCCATTTTTATTGACAATTTGTAATATATGTCTTTTATCATCAGCGACCGCAGTTTCTCTTAGAACTAAAAATAAAATATAAAATATATATAGTCCTTTAGTCGTTAAAAATATTATAATTGAGGAAGTCAGAAATTTTCTAGTAATGCGAAAGGTATTCAGTATTGTAGCTTTTTGTAAGAGATATGTCTTACTATGATATTTAATGTTGCAAACTAAATATTCATAAGAAAGTTTATATTGTATTTTTTACATTGCACTGAATAAAATATTTTTCTTTGTTTCTTTCTTCTTTAAAAGTACAATAGGTACTTATTATTATTCTCTCTTTTTACAGCAACGCCTTTTACAGCCTTTGCTGGTTTTTTATGCATTGTATTATTATTATTATTTTATATATTTCCTTTTTCATGGGGTTAAAATGTTCAAACTATTATTATTTTCACTGTTGTCTTATTTTCTCAACTATTGATGGTTTTTTACGCTTTGTGGCGTATACCAAACTATTATTATTAATATCGTTACATTTATTATTACTATATTTTTATTCATAATATTTGTAATTTATATAATCATTCAGAGAATAAAATAGTGCACTAACAGCCGTTTGGTTAATTTTTAAAATAAGGTCCTCTTAATTCTATCAAATCTGCAGGTAGACTTAAATATTTTGTGTGCCATGGAATATACATTTGCAATAACCTTAACTTACTTTTGTGCAATACTAACTTATTCTTTCTAGAGGTTCGTATATTGCTTTTTATTTGACAGTGAAATATAAAGATAGGTACAATCTGTTTCATGAATAAACATATTTTAAGTATATATAACTTTGTTAAAGTCTGCCTCGGTAATCTATTGAAAGTATAATATATATTAACTATAGTCGATTATAAAAATAATAAACTTGAAAGGATTCATACTAAAGTTTGCATTATCGTCTATCTAATGCAATTTGTATATTTACTACTACTACTTAAGGTACAATTTCCAAGAACACGAAATCACTTCTAATGCTTACCTCCAAGCAGCTCTGGTTCCCCAAGATTCACGTAGAATAACACGTCCTTCTCGTAACTGTCCTCTTCTACGATATGAAGAGGAATGAATTTTCTGTAACAAAAAAAAATAACTGTTAATAAATTTATGCACCATTTTTATCGACCTGATCGATTTGGTTCTTTTTTAAACATGTAACAATTACAGAAAAACATTTTTTTTCAAGTTGCAACAGCAACATTTGACATGCTATATATATGCATGTATATTTACATTTAACATCGTTAGAGGCGAGCCCACCGCATAGAAATATAAATTGGAACATTTTTTCAGTCCAGATTTGAACTCACGACCTTTTAACTATAAGTCTCGATAGTAAGCAATACGCCAAGATGTTCACTTTATAATTCTATTAGCGCCAATATAGCATTTTCTCTATATATAATAAACAAACTGTGCCCGCGACTTCGTTGCGGGGAATAAAGACCATGATCAAATAAAAAAAATATACCCCCAAAAATACGGAAACAAAGGGTTTCATCGTTCTAGATTAAAAAATTACGAATTTCCCAACTTTCAACCCCTTTTATATTTTAACAGTTTAAGGATATAACTTTTACAAACTTTGAATTTCATATTTATTTATATATAACCAACAGTCAAAGTTCAAGCTTCTAACTTTCAAAATGATGAACTGAAAATACCATAAAACTTTTTCTCTTATATATATTAAAAAGTAGCCTATATCCTTTTTCATGATTTAGATTATCTGTATATCAAATTTCTTTTCAATCGGTTCAGTAGTTTTCGCGTGAAAGCATGACAGGCAAACAGATTTACATTTATATATTATTAAGAATTTAGATTGAATATCAGACAATAATTTCAGTTATATGCATGAACACCGCTACAATATACTAGCTTACCCGCGCTACTTCGTCTGCATCACACTTACTTAACATTTATCACTATTTCATTAAATTTTCATAATATCTCTTTAAATTATAGCCTATTATTCTGATCTATCAAATCATCATCATCAAAATACGTTGAGTAGTTTTTGCGTGAAAGAGTAACAAACATCCCTACTTTCGCATTTATAATATCATTATATATTGTAATAGAATCATAAAAACACTTAAAAAACAATACTATCAAGAGAAGTTAAAATCTGGTTTAGGTAATTCAAAAATGACATGGAATACAATTAAGGAGATATGTATATATAACATCATCTGAGTTGTTAAAAATCAAAGAAACTTCCAAGGACTCTCTTAATGTCGCAAATGATTTCTTTAACAATGAGTAAATTAGCTAATGATATATTAAATAAAATTGGTAAAACAGCAACTCAATTGGCTAGTGAAGCGTCAACAGCTGGTCCACTAAAAACTATGTCACTATTTCTAACTGATCCAGGACAAGTTGAGAGAATAATAACCAGTTTAAAAACAAATGCTGCTCCTGGGTGGGATCTCGTTTCAACCAAGCTCTTAAAAATTCTGAAACACGAAGTAGCATCACCAATAGCCTTTTTATGCAACCTGAGTTTTGAAACGGGGGTCTTTCCAAATAGTTTGAAACAAGCTATTGTATGTCCTATTCATAAATCAGGAGATAAATTGATACCAGCAAATTATAGACCAATCTCACTCCTTTCTACAATATCAAAAATTATAGAAAAAATAACAGACGACTGATTAATTACTTAGAAAAAAATAACTTATTGGCATCAAATCAATATGGGTTCCGGAAAAAAAGATCTACCGTAGTGCTTAATCTTACAAACAAAATATCTTCTTATCTTGACTCAGGAAACCATAGTTTGGGTGTGTTCGATTTACAAAAAGCATTTGATACAGTGTGTATACCGGTCCTTCTAACTAGGTTACAAAACTTTGGAATCAGGGGCCTTTCGTTAGAATGGAGTTATCTTTCGAAGGAAACAAAGGCTTCGTGTTGAAGGACATCTAAGTGATTATGCTAATTGTTTATATGGAGTCCCACAGGGAAGTACACTAGGTCCTACCCTGTTTTTAGTGTATGTAAATGATTTATGTATGATGAATTCGCGAGATATGGATGTTTTTATGTTTGCGGACGACACTGTTCTTCTATTTCATGCGCAAAATTGGATAAGTTTAAAAACAAAGCAGAAGAAGCTCTTTGTAGGGTTACGCATTGGTTAGATAATAGTCTTCTGACACTAAATATTGAAAAATCCAAATACATCTGTTTTACTAAAACAAAAGCATCTAGACCCACCCGATTTCAGTATAAGAATACACACGTATCGTAATCTGCATCAACACATTGTAAATGCACCGACTTAACATTGATATCACTATTTCATTAAATGGAATTCACATCTCATATATGCAAAAAAAATTAGAAAACTTATAATAATATTTAGAAATCTAGTGGCTAACAAGGATCTGCCTATTATTCTGTATTATTAATCTGCATCTGTACTGGGGATGTGCCTCAAAATCATATTTAATTGAACTGTAAAGATGTTTTCGCTACCATATAGACAAAACCTGGTATACGAACATGCTGATGTAGTAAAATGTTCATATATCGTGAAAGAGTGAACCAAAACAAACATTTGTGAAAACAACATTTGCAAAGAAGCAATTTAATTTATAGCACCTCGGTTATATCAAGGATAATGACAAATTATATATTATTTTGAAATGGCTAAAACCACTTGAATATGAAAACTGTGAAACACTAGTGTCCCCGTATTAGTATTGGTATTAATATTTATCTCTCCTTCTTCTTCTCTTATCCTCTCTCTCACACATACACAACACACACACACACGCACACACACACACACACACACACACACACACACACACACACACACACATACACTTTGCAAGTAAATAATGATAAGCTTGTGTTATTAACTTATTTAATATAATGTGTGAATTAAAATACAAGTTTACTTAGTTTAGGTACCAGGGAACAATTTAAATTGTAAATATTGGATGCAAAATAAAAATTATTATTAATTATTATTATTATTATGCACCAACATGAACTTTGTACGTTATTCAGTTGTATAAACTATGTTTAATATAATGTCATTAAAATCCGTTTATAATATTAGCACAGATGATATAATATTAGTAAGATTTCATAACCAAAATAAGTATTTCTCTGTGGCGATATATTGTTCACCTCTACATATATATGGGGCCATAAATCACGGAGACGCGCCAAACCTCTTGAATTATGGCAATGCTTGTTATGCTATTAATTCTACTGAGGCGACATATTTAATAAGCTCAACAATAATGTTACGAATTTGATTATAATGCGGTTCCTTATCATGTAGAACCAAATATGAAGAGAGTGTCTATAACATAACTTTTTAATTGTCTATTTTTAATATAAGTGTCATTGATTTCATTGTAGTGTAACGATGACAGTTCACGTACCTATATTAAATATATACCTAATCTAAAATAATTCATTTTTATTATTTATATATATATATATTGTTAGCTACAACTTCCGCTGGTGGCGCCACCGTCGTACGGCACGTCTATAAAAGGCTGCGAAACACTGTATGCGGCCCCCCTCCGATTGATCCCCCTTCCAATATAAACGGGGATCGAAATTACGACGGCCTGAGCCGAGGTTCGAACCCCTAGTGGTGCCCTCAGACTAAAGTCGTATCCGTCAGGCAGGAGTTGGCCTTCAGCCGCTCCATAAGTCCTTCCGCGGGTTTGGAGTGCCATCTGCACTCGCCCCTAACGTCCGGTGAAGCTGTAAAGGCCAGCTACGGCCAACAACATTAGAGTAGTCCGAAAAAAAAAAAGTGTGCGGTCTCACTCTCTTGGTCGACAGACGTGCTCTCGAACGAATCTCCGATCATACCGTATTTGCTTTATATAATTTTAGTTCTACATTATATTAATTTTGTTAAAATCAATTATACGATTTGTTATAAGTTTCTTTTATTTAATTAAATTTAGAGGTAATTCTTAACAATATATATATATTATTACACACAAAGTTGTGTCACAAACAGAGAGATATTCTTTGTTAGTTAGATAGATAGAATATACTTTATTTGCAACATACAGTAAAGAGCACAAACAATATAACACAGTACTCATGTATCGTTACAATAAGGCGGCCTTATTGCTTTGTTATATGTAAGCAATTGCTATAAAATTATTTTATATTGTTATATGTGTTTGGATGACCAATTAAAGACATTGACATGTATAAATATTTAAATATTTCATTTATAAGTAATTGACATACGCAAATTGTTAATAATGTAGTACTTAATCTATACATATAAATAAAATTGGTGCGTCTGTTTGTAGTATTGAAATAACCGTTTACTACATGCATATGAATATAAATACGGTACATATAATATATCCGGCTAATCTACACTTAGCTACTAAGGTGCAGGACATTTTGGACTAATACTGGACCAAATAAAAATATTGACATGTATAAATATTTAAATATTTGATAAATAGTGGCATGTCAAAAATGACAATGTAACCTTAAAAATCATATTAAATATAATAATTATCATTTGCAAGTAAGTTGACAAAACGCAAGTTTCAAGGCATTAGTGGTCGGGTACTAGACTACTTGGTAAGTACTACAAACAAATCCCGTAAACATCGTTTCAGCCATTTCAAGATTAGCCGGAACAAACAAACAGACAAACAAAAATTGTAAAAAATGTTATTTTGGTCAATGTACCGTATTTATATTCATATGCATGTAATAAAAAACGGTTATTTCAATATTACAAACAGACACTCCAATTGTATTTATATGCATAGATTATTTATTTACTGATTATTTTAGATATTTTAATTCCTTACCGAACTAAACCGCGGGTTATTACATATATACATGGTATATTCAATATTTCATCACAATGTTTAAATATTTTATACCCTTAGGGGTGGAATTTATAACAATCCTTTCTTAGGGGATGCCTATGTCATAGTAGCTTTATGCATGCAAAGTCTCAGCACGATCGGTTTAAAATTGACAAAGTTTTCTATAAACTTTCATCCCTTATTTTATCCCCTTGTGGGTAGAATTAATCAAAATCCTTTCTTAAC